TTAGGAAAAAACAACGAATTCATAGTCTTCATTAAGAACACTAATCCCTCTTATAATAATAATAATAATAATAATAATAATATCTGGGGTTTAACGTTCCAAAACCACGATATGATTATGAGGGACGCCGTAGTGGAGGGCTCTGGAAATTTCGACCACCTGGGGTTCTTTAACGTGCACCTAAATCTAAGCACACGGGCCTCAAACATTTTCGCCTCCATCGAAAATGCAGCCGCTGCGGCCGGGATTCGATCCCGCGACCTGCGGGTCAGCAGACGAGCGCCATAACTACTACACCACCGCGGCGGGGCACTAATCCTTCTTGGGAGGCAACAAACAAGCGAGAAAGGGATCGGACAAGCACTCGTCTCGTCCTGCCTTTCGGTATACATCGCTCTGGTTCTCGTCCCCTAGCAATGAACTAGCTCGCCCAGCTGACACCCTAGTGCACTTTAGGATCTGTTAAATGGTACGTGACATTAAAACGATAGCTGCAGGGCATTAATTTATCTGGAATAGCTTTCAAGAGCTTAGAGAGCAATACAATTTGCATACATGAGGGCTCAGTCTGTTGAACTTCTTCATAGGCGCTGTGAGCGGACATTGCAGTGGTATTCGCGGGCCGAGGAGAAATTGGCGGAGCACAGATTTCAGCGTGACATACATACAGCTGGTATTAGGCGTCACATTAAATATTTGCAATTACAATCACTCAGGGCGTTTTCTCACTATTAATCGGTCTCCTCGCGTATTATGTCTCAGTACGAGTAATAAAAAAAGTGTAAACACACAAAAAGAGAACGCTACGTGTCACTCACTAAATATATGGGTGTCCCAACTATCCTAAACCAATATTTTAAAAATCTTAATGCGATGTGCCTAGAACAGGTTAACATCGTGGTGCCCGTGATGACCTAGCGCGTAACCGAATTCTTGCCAATTATACTTATTTGGCCCAATGAAATTAAAAGTAATTTTGTAATAATAAAGCTAATAAAAATAAAGCACCTTTTGGATTCTTAATTTTAAAAGCGACTTTGAACTAGGGTGTCGTAGAATATATATATATTTCTAAAAGGCCAGTTCTGTTGCTCCCACTGTCAGAGCTATCGCCCAATTGTTTTAACAGCGACATCAAGTTGGCCGCTACTCACTCGCCATGTGCGAAATAGCTGATAACGCGCCACATGGAGTACTCTCTCAAGTTATGAGGTCATTTTCGCCTTTTCCTGTAAAACGCTACGCCACGGGTAAAATAGCAGAGACAACTGAATCAGAATCGAGGAGGTTACATGTAGATCGTTCTTAGTGAGACGTTTGCTCTGAATTTAACGATTGTGAAGCCGGCAAATTTTTTACTTAGCTAGTTATATCTACCAGCAAAATCATGCCGGCGAATCCATGGATGCTGTGTACACCATGCGTTGGTATTGTTGGTGTAATCTGCGCGAGAATCTTAAAAAGACTGAGTCAGGATAACTCAGACAGGTACACATATTGAGTATTAAGACATTTCTGTAAATAGATGTAGAGGCATGAAAGTTTGTGCTGTTGTATGATCACTTTACAGTATTCCCACCTGGACTTTCGACGTGTGTCTGCCCATCGCCAAAGATGGTAACTGTTGGCAAAGCACATCTTAGCAGCCTTGTCTGTCCAGGGTCTGCGTAGTCTCTGCTGGTGAAATGGGCAGAGCACAGGCGGTAGCTGCTGTAGATCTGACGAGGTGGTAAATGAGCCAGGTCCTGCCGTCTCGCATACTGAAGCCAAGCGCGAGATCTGGAAAATCAATGTGTTCGTGTGTAGTATTTGGGTTAGAATGAATTTATTTCTGTTTTCAGGCGTAGATGGATAGCTTTGAGTGAAAACTGGCATCTTTATTCGAAATAAGCGTTATTTGATACATTTCTCATCTTCCTTTCTTAATTGAATTTTTGTAACCAAGACGACTTGTGATAGCAATCCTGAAAGCAAACTTCAAAATAAAATCTGTCTTTATTATTAAGAGACGCGGATACATGCTTCTACTTGCGCGATAGTAATGTTTGGTGGCAACGACCCCAGCTTTCCTCCTAATTCAAAATATATTTTTGCAGACAATAGCAATCATCCCACACCAAAATCTCTAAACAACTATTCGTACATATATACCCTCGCGCACTGCGTATTCCTCGGGTATTTCTCGCGCCCTGCTGCAAATCTTTCATAAAAACCTTAATAAAACCGGTAATAAATTAGTAGAACACGTAAGTTTACATCGTCCAATTATTTATGGGCTTTTAGCTGCAATTGCATTCTTGTAAATATATCGTAATTGTACTTAAGGCAGAAACCGAAAACATGAAATTGAAGTATACATTATAAATTATTACTTTATAAATTTATTGCTAAATTCCTCTGCAATATGCCGTGGATTTACGTGCGGCCAAAATGAAAACACACAATCGAAACGCAATAATGTAATAACATCCGTCTAAACTCGCAAGTGTAATAATTTATGTACTCAAAACCTAATTAACATAGTACTAACAACGCATGCTATGAACGTATATGGACCCTCCCTTATAGCCAAAAGATTATGGAAATCGTCTTCCTCCAGCTATGGACATAAATAGGCTGATAATATTCAAGAATAATAATAACGCATGCAACAAGAACAGACTGAACGCAGGCAATCAAAAGGTAATAAAAAGAGTGCGGATAAGCTTACCCTGTTCTATTAGTTACTGTATATGCTGCTACAAATACATTTGTGACATGCCTTGCATTGCCTTGAGCCAAAGTGCAACATCGAAATGCAATGCACGATCGAAACGCATTAAATTGAAAACGCAAGTATAAACAATCGTGCGTAGCAAATGTATTCGCTGGAATAATTTCCAGATGCTTTGCCGTGCATGTGATGTATAATTGAAGCCGAAAAGCAGACAATCAGAATGTAATGAATAAATTATGTACGTGTAGCTCAATTAAATTACACAGCTACTGCAGCAACCGCATCCTGATATGCCGTGCAAGCGTAGAAAGACAAAACGAGCAGCATGCAGATCGTGCCTTTCGTCCGCCGGGATCCGAAAGAATTTTATGCCGGTGTGTTGTGAAGAATTCCGACACCACTCAGCGCAGCACAATTTGTGATGACGGCGAGAATCCATGGATGCGTCTGTTTGGCTGAATCTTGCATGGGTTTCGCTAAAACAAACTTTACAGCGGTAAAAGCGGCCTTTGGGACACCGCAGGCTGTAGCATACATGGGCGCGCGAAAAGAAACGCCCCTTTTTCGCCGTGAGAGATAGGACGACTGCGCAGTTCCCGTTTTCCACTTCGGGTGGCGCTCTTATTTTCGCAATCTCGAACTGCAACCTTTAGGTTCACTTGTGTAGTAAAAACTCTGGAGTTAATGAGTAACCTAGTAATAACTATAAAATACAACAAGAACGTTCATTTAGGTAGTACAGCCACCAAACGTTAGGATCGCTGTGGTCACGGGACAGAAAAATCGCGAAGTTTCACCCCCCTGCTTCAGTTCCCACTCTTCTTCCTCCGAGCGAATTAGTCTCGTCAGTCCCATAACCAATCCAATGGGCTACTGCTAAGAGCATCCACAGCGCGATCTTTACGCCAAGAGATAGACACAGTGATCGGGGGCAGGTGCCACCGCCGAATATCACAACACTTATAAAAGAACTGTCGGCAGTGGCGAGCGGTCGAGGGATGTCTGTGACAAATGGAGAGGGAAATCAACGGGGACGGGGTGACACTTGTGGTGAGCCTAATATTGTTCTTTGCCTCTTTTGTTTATGCGTATAAGCAATCCGCCTGGATCTTGCTATATTTAGCCTCACCGAAGACATTTGTTTACTCTTATAAAATTTATTCCGACTCCATTGTATGCTTGGCTTCAGAATTCACAGCTTGATAGGTGAATCTATCTTTGAAGTAGAACCGTGTAGACGTTCCCTACGCACAGGTAGTGCGCCATGGAAGCTGCTCGCTGCTTCTAGATTGTCGTTTATTTTCATGTTTATTCACCTGGTTCTGTTTCGAAACGTGCGACATTAAAGGAACCGTATATAAATTTATGCCTATAAGCGTACACTGCTTGTTTTTGGTATCGGGTAGTTTTTTTTTCTTTTCTTTCAAATTTAGCCGTCTTTTTTTTCTCGCAAAGTGCAGTACGTAATATAAACTTATAGCACTCCACCGCGTCTTCTTTTATTCTTCATTTTTTTTCTCTTTACTTCTATGGATAATGTTTTCCGTCACCATTACTAGGTTTGTCTTGCGTGCTCTGAAAAATGTGTCAGACTTCCATTAGCAATCTCTAAAAAGCCGCAGTCACTTCAACGCCAGCTATACAGATGGATGTGTGGCGTGCATCGCATGAAACAAGTGTTGGGTCAAAGGGGCTTGTGCGTTCTTACCGGTCGTTGCATTATCATTTTTCTTCGATTTTTTTTCCTCCTTTTCCCTCTTACTATCTTAATGTTTTTCGTAGCACATATTCAGGCACTAGTTGCACCTATGACTTCAATTTATGACATACATTGGTGTGACTATACGGTTGTCTTACTCTTTGCATAGGTGCTAGTGGAACACCGTCCACAACCATTAGTTATCAATAATGCAGTGACAGCGATGTTCTGTTTTGTAAAAGATTAGGTTGTCCTACCGCCTTTTCCTAAGTTATGCACTGTTCACCGCATCTTATCTCTCATTCCCTTATTTCCGAGTATTGCATCTATTTATTCACGCGCTTTTCTGGTAAACATGGCTGACTTTAGAGTTACTCATCTTTGTATTTTAGCGTCACCTTGCATTTCAGCTTCCCTGTATCCCATCTACAGATCCACCACCTACAACCTTTAGTGTGTGGTTGTTTGTTAAAACATTTAGTCGTGTTTTGAAGTGCACCTGAGACCTTTGCCCACGCATGTACCCTTTAAGGAGAAGACTTAACTGAGGACGCCTATTCTCGTCCGCTTCCATTTCAGAATGACATGGAGCAGGAGTTTCCACGGGTCAGCTCCCAGGTTCCCTTGTCTCCGCGGGGTGGCGAGGACGAGGAGCGGGGCTCGGACGGCGAGTACGTCGAGCGCGGCACGTGGACCGGCCGCTTCGACTTCATACTCTCTCTTCTGGGGTACTCGGTCGGCCTGGGAAACGTCTGGAGGTTTCCATACCTCGTCTACAGCAATGGAGGCGGTGAGTGCGTGTGTTGAAAGGCCGAAGAACGAGGGGTTTGTTAAAGCTTCATAGGACATACGGAAGAAGTTATTGTTAAGTAAAAAAAATCTGTTGTATTACTAGCGTAGTGCAGTGTAATTTTTTTTTTAATTTACTAAAAAGATTAACCAGTGTTTGTTTTTTTCGGAGTCGCCATCAGCATCTTTATGGTGCTCAAAACTCAAAGGCTTAAAAAATGAAGCTTTTTTAGCCACGGACAGCCAACATGGGACACCGCTCAAAGCTTGTCTGTTGTAGGCCCGTGTGCTCAGATTTGGGTGCACGTTAAAGAACCCCAGGTGGTCTAAATTTCCGGAGCCCTCCACTACGGCGTCTCTCATAATCATATGGTGGTTTTGGGACGTTAAACCCCACAAATCAATCAATCAATCAAGCTCAAAGCTTGTCAGTGTTTCGCGATATGACAGCGGCAATCTAGCGCTTGAACGGAACTCGTGAACGCTGTGAATTCGTCTAGTTGAATGTATGTTTACACTAGGCGTCATTGGTGTTTTGTACTCAAATTCAGGAGAGAAATGTATAAAGGCAAGAGAAGAAAATATTTTAGGGTACTTTCACTGCGTGGAACGCAACGAGATTAAGCCAGCACGTACGCGCCTGTAGGAGGACCCGAGATCGCCAACGACTACGCCAGATGATGACGGCGACAAAACGCAAGTGACAGAGATGGGGTGCATATAGATTTGTGCAGTATTTTATCGTATTATCGTGGCCATGGTGACATGTCTTAGTAAAGAGGGGGTGAGAGATCACTTATTTATTTGTTTGTTTATTTATTTGATTTGCATACACGGATATACAAGGACACAGGGGCAAGAGGGAAAGAGCAAGCTGGCAAGTTCCAGCTGGAGAAGCGCAAAGCCTGCTTCCTCTTTCAGGAGGAGGGACGATTAAGAGAGAGAAAATAAAGAGAAAGGCGGAGAGGTTAACCTGGGCTGAGCCCCGGTAGGTTACCCTGTTATGGGGAAGAAGAGAGAGAGAAGGAAAGTTAGAGGAGGGGGAAAAAGTCACTGACTGGGTTGGCGCCTAACAGTTTCACATGTGAAGAGGAGGGGTGAGATAGAAGAAAGAAAGATGAAAGGAGAACAAGGAAAAAGAAGAGACGGAAGTAAAGAAAAATATTACCATGTCTTGCGGAAGTCCGCAAGACATGGTAAGTATAAATAAGTATAAATACAAGACAAGTATAAATAAACTAGAAATGAAAAATTGTCTATAAACGGGTGATCAGATTCCTTTGGTCTATAAAAGTCAATAGATCTTTATGGGCCTGGTCGCGTCGAGAAACACAACCTGTCAGCGCTTGACACAAACAGACGTATACGAGAGCAACAATAACCCCCAATGGCTGCTGTAGGCACTGCTTGAATCGTTAGGGGAGCACAGATATGCCAAACAAAACAAGACAGTTTCACTCAACGAGAAACAACGTGAAAGCTAGTGTTCATTCCACTTGTATGAGGGCCTTTGTTAGAATAAAAGCAAATTTGTATGCAAGGCTTGGATGCAGTCCTATAAACCACTGAAATGAACCCAGTGATTTCCTGCGATGCGAGCTCGCAGGCAAAGAGGTGCCACAATCAATACCTTGATGCTATTGTCACGCGCGTGAAGTGATTTCTTTTCTCGCATGGTACGAATCATGGAAAGATGGTCATGGAAAGAAGTCTCAAAAATAGTCTAGAAAGGAATTAAGGCCAACTGTCAAGGTGGAAAAAGGACCAAGAGAGCGGTGATACGGATAAGGGAACTGCGTGTTTTTTGCTTTCTTTTGTGTATGTATCTGCTGCATTTCTGCGAGAACGAGAAAGCCACCGCACAAGCCGAAAGGCCAAAGCTTAATGCTATTCCGCATCCCATCTCAACACTGTCTTGTGATGCGGAAAGGATTCGGCCCGTGTACTTTTGCAGGAGCGCGACCTTGGCCGCGTTCGGTGGGCACGTGGAGGCTTGTTCCACGGTTTCTTCGCGCGTTATTCCGATAGGAAAGACGGGGATGGGACTTAGGCGGCGCGAGCGTTGATGCACACGCTCGCGCCGCTGAGATAGGGGAAGGACCTATCGTCGCATTCCTGTGTTGATACCTTTCTCTTCTTTTTTTTCCTTTTCGCCTTTGCAGGAGCTTTCCTGATCCCGTTCTTTGTGATGATGATCCTTGCGGGACTTCCGCTCATGTTCATGGAACTGTCCTTCGGGCAGTACTCTAGTCTGGGGCCCATCGCCATCTTTGAGCGCTTCTGCCCTCTCTTCCATGGTACGTAATGCATCGCTTATGCCTCGGAAGTGGTTACGACGACTCATGTTTTGTACTGTCTTTCCTTGTTTATTATTTTTCCTTTGACATCTTTGAAATCGCTATCACACGCCACCCTTTGCCAAGTTTTGCCGAGTAGTAGCTTGTGTTTCAAGGAGTGGCGCAGGCCTCCTTGAAGGCTCGTAAACGCTGCACTGATATCACGACTATTGTTTTCTTGTGCAACTTCATACATATTTGTGCTTCTGCGTAAGCAAATGCATGCAGGTGCACAGGTCGTATCATAATTAGGTGTAACATCACTGCTTAATTGCTAGTTAAAGTTGCAATGCCAGAATACTTTTTGCAGATTTTAAAGGCTGATCGATTCTACTTTATTTGATTTCTTAATTATTTTTGAGTGATATCTATTGAAATGAATAGGAGCTCTGGTGAGTGAATGTAGCCCCCAAGAACTGCAACTACCCTCCGAATGAGCTTGTAGTTTTGCGTAACCTGCAAAAAAAACATTGGTGCTTGATTTGTGCCAGAAAGTTTCAGCGTTACGTATAAAATACCATATAATAATATGTAGATCAAAGAAAACAGTTCCGTTTCACTACGTTATGCTTTAAAGTACATCTATAATGTTGGAAGTTTCCTTAATCGTCAATGCACGTCATTTGTCTTCTAATGTAATGATGTAATGACATTAAGCTGGTTTGGCGAGGGGCCGCAAGTTTTTGTTGGCTTTTAGAAAGAGAAACCTACCTGTGGTAGCACATGGTTTGACAGATGTTTTCTCGTTTTCATTGCAGGTCTAGGCTACGGTATGGTGATTGTGTCCGGCATCGTCATGCTCTACTACAACCTGATCATCGCCTGGACACTGTTCTATATGTTCGCATCCTGGTCCAAATCGCTGCCTTGGGAAAAGTGTGACCCGGAGTGGTGCACTCCAGGTACGATGCTTACTTTCAGTTATTGCAGCCTCATTGTACTGCATAGAGCAAGGTGAACTGTAGGGCCAGGTATTACGACATAGTCAATGTTGAGTACTTCAGTACACAAAAGAAGAAACTAACAAACGAGAATGACGCTCTTTGTCGCATTTTGGCAATGGCGTTTTACAAAAGTATTCAGTTAAATGGTGTAGTGTACACTCCCTGCTGGGCAATTACTCTATGACACAAGTAAAATGCATATTCTACACAAAAAAATTAAAATATGCGTTTTAACGCTGCCATGATTATAATAATAGGCTGCATGAACGTAGATGCAATAGTCGGTCTTTTAATACCATCATCATAATTAACATTTCTCTAATGAACAGTTACTCGGACAATCAGTTATTCACGTTGATGCACGTTTAACTGAGAGCTGCGTCCCAGATTGCGCTTTTCTGGCTGTAGTTGTCACTTCTTATTCGCACATTTCTTCGATAGCAGATTTGCCATTAGTACTACCATAAACTAGGTTTTCAATAAAAATACCTTGCGATTTCTCTTGTTTCGCGTTTATTTACAGCTTGTTACCAGTACGAAGACGCCGACGCGTGCTTTAGGATCAACGGATCCTACTACAACCAGACCTGCTTCAACCAAAGTATGGCGCAAGAACTCAATATATCGGCCCTCGTGAAGAACATGACAAAGCGAACGCCGTCGGCTGAATACTTCAGGTGAGACATGAACAGTCTGAAGAAAACAAATGGACTTGTTCGCTCTGACGAGTGTTTATTGAACACCTGCAGGGTGATTCGACTTAGCGTGGAGCCATCGATCATGGCGTATTCGACAAGTTGATTTGGTTCTCCCTGTTTTCACCATCCAGAGGCACCGGGCTTTAAATCCTATGTGATCAAACTGGGATATGCAAAATTAATTAATTTTGGGGTAAAAACAGGGCAGAGATAAGGGGGTATCATCAAATGCGCGAAGTAACCTTACGATGTAAAGTAGATAATTACAGCGGTAGCTTGCAATCCATCAATCAACCGAGTGATTGACCAATCAGCCATCAGTCATTAGACCAATAAGCCGATCAACAATCAACAGAACAATCAATCGAATAAATAAAAAATAAATAAGAAAAACTGTTTTACATTCATCATTGTGAAAACTGGGTAATTGAAACGTTTTTAAAGCACTAGTAACGTGCCCTCAACAGCTCTTTACGCTGTCATGCTTGACCGCCTCCGCATTATTTTACAGGTTCTTCGTGCTAGGAGAGTCTCCCAGTATACGAGAAACGGGCGAGATACGGTGGCCTTTGGCCTTGTGCTTGCTGCTTGCCTGGATCATTGTCTTCCTATGCCTCTGCAAAGGCGTCCAGTCCTCGGGAAAGGTGAGCGCCAATGGCAGCCACTTTTAGATGCGGAGCATCTTATACTCGCGCCTTGTAGTGCGCCGTCCGCGCCGTCTGCACCGCTTCTCGAACATTCGACAGCTGACGCGCGCGCATGCGCCGTCGCGCCGTCGCCCACTCTTCCACCATCTGTGCATCCCTTCCTCCTCTACACACCGCGCGCACTTCACTCCTCCACCATCTGTGCACCCTTCCTTCTCTACACACCGCGTTCGACATCTACAATTCTCCTGATTCTCCAGTGGACGCGCATGTGGCGTCGCGCTTCGAGAACATTCAACAGCTGACAGTGCATGCGCCGTCGTGCTGTATATATACTCAAGGTCGGCGCTCGCTCGCTCAGTTGCCGCTCGTCGGTTGGTTTGTACGGCGCGTCGACGTCCAAGGTCGCGGTGAAATGAATTCCAACGAATCCACAAACACAATGATCGACGCCCCTTCGACCAGCGCCGCCCTTTCGCATACGTGTGTACGTGTTCACTCATTTAACACCCCCTCCTACAACCACGTTAACCAATTTAGCCATCGACCCAAGTAAGTCGCAATTTAACACCCCATTTCACAACCACGTTAACCAATTTAGCCATCGACCCAAGTAAGTCGCACTTTAACACCCCGTTAACCAATTATATGGTCCGCATCCTCCTCAGTGTTCCCCCGAGGGAAGCTGCGGGCAATTTTTTTTTCGACCTCTTTTCTTTCTGAAGTTTTTGTTGCTAGACATCACTGTGCCTGTATTATTTCAAGTGCAGCTAATATTCAATATTCGGTACTCTGATATGACCACATATAAAGACTGGTAACCATCCTGCCTCGATGATTTTCTCAATGAGTGCCTCTTAGACTCACCATTCTGATCTTTTTATTGATGTTTTTTTTTATTCTGCTCCCATTCCTTCCCTTTTTGTTTTTAGGATAGAACATGGATTTTGATGATACCCAATCGTGTGCTTGGGTCGCAGGCCGCTATTCTTAGACTGATTTAGCTCAACGCTAAAGCTCGGGAAAAGCTTCACATGATTTGTTTACCATCAGATGCCTCAATTCAGTTTTGCCGCAATATATTTCTATTGTGTGAAGAAGCATACTTAACTTGTTGTGGTACAGCCTATATTTACTGAAGCATATAGATTATACTATACGGCCACCACTGCGAAGCCTGCTGTACGTATGTATTTAATCATACGTGAGGGCATGCTGCTTTTTATCACTGTAAAACAAGCAATACCTCTACTGCCTAGGCTTCAGAGCTGCTCTCGATGCGGCTGATGTGATTTCGGCCCTCGTCAACTGCACCTAGCCCTGCTCTGTACGAGGCTTATATTTGCTTTCCTGATTTGTGCATGCACGCGTCAGTTGATTATTATTGGTTCCCATGTTAATATTTCAAAGATCTATTGGCTGAAAATAAAACGCCTTGTTGTGACAACTGGTACGAAAGCCGCACTAATGAATTACAGATTCAATTTTTATCGTTCATTTTGTGGTTTTCAATTAAGTCTGGTATACTTATCAGCTCTCCCACTAATTTCAAGGAGGCACGCCATGCACAGATTTCGCTGGTTTCACCATCTTTACTTATGGTCTTACGAGACTAACTTGCACCACGATATGCACAGTCAGCGTTCGAGCCATGCTCTCGATCCATCATTGCTCACGCATTCTAGCGTTCAGGGGTGGTCTAGGTCCTCGTACTGTAATCTAGACTATCCACGCTTCATTTCCCTATTTGTACACGTTCTACACTTCACAAAATATAAGCTTCACCGCAGTAAAATTTTTGTACTTCGCCACATAACCGTATCGTACCACAGTGAAGCTCACTAAAAAAATCACAGCATATTCACGGAGTGAATGATGATGCGTGGGGCGAAGGGGCGATGATGCGTGGGGCGATGATGCATGGGGCGTCTGTGCTTCCGCCCTCCGCTCTTGCTTCCGTCCGTCCACGCGACGATCTGCGTGACCATCCGTGCATTCATCCATGCGTCCGTCGGTCTGTCCGTGCGTCCATCCTTCCGTACGTCCACGCATCCATCCATCCATCCCTACATACATACATACATCCGCACATACCCGCTCTAGAGCGGGTATGTGCTACCGGTTGCTAAGTGCGACAACGGAGGATGGACAGACCCACGCCTTAAGCAGCTTCTCCCTTAAAAATTGATCACAACGCTACGCGCACATGACCTACTTCTTCCAATGAATCGGCTTTGGGAGAGACTGCCTATATAATGTTATTCCAAAGATCGCTGCTAAATCACTTTCTCTGTTTAATGAACGCAGGTGGTGTACTTTACTGCCCTCTTTCCCTACGTGGTGCTGGTGATATTGTTTTTCCGCGGTGTTACCTTACCCGGTGCCTACGAAGGAATCATGTTCTACGTCACGCCCAATTGGAGGCTACTACTTACCCCGCAGGCAAGTACAAACACTTTAATCACCACATTCACCTCTAGTCTATGAGGTGCTGGATGCTTTCAGCTATATATAATTTCATGCGATTCATTTCAAGAATAAATGTGCCGTCATCATCGAATAAACGGCTGCTGTACCTTTGAGCAGCTGCCAATAAGCACCTATCAGTTATTCCAGGGATAACAGACCCAAACTAAGCATACTCTTCAATACCCGTATTTAGTAACCAATGTTCTGAAGTGGCTTATCAAAAAGAAACACTTGTGAATATGAGTGTTAACTGAAATCTAACTACTGCTACGCAGCTAGCGGAAAGTCTCGTATTTTTGCGGGATATTTTTTATGAAATCTCTAAATTTGGAGCAATATTGTTGTCAAAGCTTAGCGCATATTAGTATTCTCTGAACATTTAGGTTTTTGTATAGGTTATTTATTTAATTTATTTAATTCCGAACATCCTTTAGATTTACCGTAGGTGTGACAAGGTTTCACTTCCTCAAGCCTTAAGTTACCTTAAACACAAAAAATACCTTAAAAAAGAATACCAAGGTAATCATAAATAAGCGAGTTGTTATACAATACTTCTAATATGAATTCAGCCTTTAATAAGTATACTTTACGCGAAAAGTAATTATAGGTAGCGTAACGGCATCTAATTTCTCAAGCTAATTAGTCATGACGTCATCAACCATGAGATGATTAGCCCTGGCTTGTGCTGTCAATTTAATGTTGCACGTTAACTACATTGTAATTTGAGGGAGGCATTACTCAAATAAACAAGTATAAAAACTGTGCGCTTTCAAACACAACGGCAATTACATTGTACGTAAGTGCTTGTTTTAACGCTGCTGTTATTACGAAAATAACTTTCGTGACAGAAGACGTGAAGGTCACCCTGCTAATAATTAACGCCAATCTAATTATTTCTTTATTGACGAGAAATTTACTCAAAGAACAAATAATTCTGAAAACGGGATTTGCTTCGATATTCGTCGCTTCATACTTGGCACAGTGGTTTTAGAAACTAAAGCATTATTGATCTGCAACCTAAATCTTGTTCTTGTCATGAGCCTATGATGGCCTAATTACAATGATAAGTCCTTAAACAATATCGTACTGGAATAATTCAATTAGTGCTTTTATGCGTGTGTGCGTGTGCGTGTGCGTAGCGTGTGTGTGTGTGTGTGTATGTGCGTGTGTGTGCACGCCTCTTTTACCTTTACTCTGTGCCATTCCCCCTTCACCCGTGTAGGGTAGCAAACTAGGCGGAACCAGGTTAGCCTCCTTGCCTTTTCTTCGTTTTTTTCTCACTCTCTCCATCTCTGATAAAGACGAAGCAAAGATTCACCGCACTCCTTATTTCAGGTCTGGGGAGATGCGGCGGTGCAGATATTTTTCGCTCTGAGTCCGGCCTGGGGTGGACTCATCACGCTGTCGTCTTACAACAAGTTCCACAACGACTGCTACAAGTTAGTGCCTGTATTCATCAATGTATTTGAAACATGAAAGTGCCCTCTGTTTCCTAATCCATTCCCGCTTGCTTTTTGCAGTGTTACAGTGTTTTACAGCGTTATAAATGTGATGGCTATATGTACAGACGTTTTAGATTGTATAGATATAAAATTGTCGTTGTTACTAAGGAAGCAAGAAAACAAATCTTGTCTGGGTAACGTTGAACAACGGGACAAGGGAGACAGTGCGTGGGCCTTGAATAACAATAGGGTCTGTTTAGAACACATATACTGGATGAATGTGCTTAACCATGCAACACTTTAACTGCGACACTAAATGGTGAACATATTCACTACCGCGTAAAGTAATGCAACTCAATCAGCCAACAAAGCAACTAATCGATCAAGCTATCGTCGATCAACCAAACGATTTATTCAAAAACGATTTATTTATCAATGAAACAACACAGATAGTGTAACTAAGAGACCCTCCACTTATGTGAGAGGGGCTCCTTTCTTTAATCACGAATTTGCTAACAATATCTTGCGTTGTGTGCGTTATTAATTTATTTATTAATTTATTTTTTATTTATTTATTTATTCACTTATTTGCACGCAATCAATGGATGGTTAAGAAACAAATATAGCATTGTACTCTCCGCTGGTAATGAGTGCATGGCGACAGCCACAACCCAAGTGGCTGAAAATAATCCCGTTGGAAACAAAAAGGAAGGGAATACATTCATGCCTAGTTCACACTGAAACATCCGCTTTCTACAGCGACCGAAATTTTCCTGCCGCCGAAACACAGTGTCGTTCGCACTGGACGCACCCCGCGCCGCCGAATATGCCATCTACTACGGGGTGAACGCGCGATGGATGCGCTGTCACCCGGTTGTTGTCGCGGCTCGCAAACGCTACTACGCTATCCGGTGGTGTATACTTCGACCATTCTCGTACGCAAGAAGCAAGAAAAGACAGTACTGCTTACTTTGCTGGCAAATGGCTATCTTGTAATGCACAAAGAGCAGAAAAACCACCGACGCCAGCGGCGTTGGTGGGTTCGTTTTGCTCTGCAAGACCGCAACAAGCTCGGCCACGCCAACAGCAAGCTTGGTCACCTTTTTCACGAAATGCGGAGGCGAAGTAGGCACAGAGTAGGTTACACTCCCGTTGGTTTCAACATTCAGTTACGTGCACTGCGGCATAACAAGTGAGTAGAGCTTGGCCGCCATTTTTCAAAATTTCTTGACTAGCGCTCCTATTGGTCCGCGGTGACCGATTCGGCGGCAGACGCCGCAAAAATTGGTCCGAGAGCGATCGGCGCGTAGAGGGCCCTTTCGGTGGATCTCGCCGCCGCCGAACCGGATTCAGAGCACTTTCGGCGGCCGGAATGCTCAGTGTGAACGCGGCCTTACAGGGTCACAAGAAGCAGGCGTTTTATGAACGAGTTTCAGTGGCAAATAATCGCGAGCCGCTATATGTGTACACCAATTGGCCAGTCTATTATTCGATCGATCAATGCCACTCATCCTTTCTCTAATTGGCGATTCGCTTCCTTTCTTCCAACTTACTTCCAACATTATGACTCGTTGCACTTGTTACATTTTGCTATTCTCGTCGTGTTTTCTTCACGACCCCTAAAAGGCGCTGGCAGTAAAACCAGTGAACGCCTTTTCTTCTATACGGCATGTATGTAGTCCGAATAGCACGCCCACTTGCCATAAACGTTTCGAGGAGAAGTAAAATTAGTCCAGCTATATTTGATAGCTAATGTTAGTTTTTGTAATTCAGAACGCCTAACATGATCAGATGAGTTAGAGCAATCGAGGGCAACCACCATTTGTTTCCAGTATGTACATCTAGTGTGCTCGCTCTCATGGGTGCCAGTAGGATTTTATCATCGGGAAGGGGCAGGAGGGTTAAAAACGCTTTACGCGGGGAACAAGTGTTGGGGAACAAGTGCTGTGGGGGCTGCAGGCTGTTCTTTCGCGCCATGGCATCAACGTTGTGACGCGTGACGTTCCGATTTGCAGGGACTCCCTAATCGTGTCGGTGAGCAATGTCCTGACGAGCATCTTTGCCGGCTTTGTGATCTTCTCGGTCATCGGATACCTGGCTCACGAGCTCAACGTGGAGGTGGAGCACGTCGTCGACCAGGGTGCCGGACTCGCCTTCATCGTCTATCCCGAAGTGGTGGCCCGACTGCCTATCGCGCCCCTCTGGGCCTTCCTCTTCTTCTTCATGCTGCTCACTCTCGGCCTCGACAGTCAGGTACCTCTTCTTCTTCCCTCCGTCGAAGAGGAAATGCGTAGGCCACATGTCGTCTCTCTTACTCTCTTCTTTCAACCCCCCCTGGCTTGGTACAGAGAGAAGGAATGTAGCAAAGGTAGGGAGGTTAACTAGACTATGTGTCCAGTTTGCTACCCTACACATGGGGAGGGGAAGAGGGGAGTAAAAGAGAGAGAAGGATAGACACATGTCACGTCACACACACAATGCTGAGTTTCACAGGCGGTCCCTCAATGAAGTTTCTGTTAAGTATCTCAGGAGGGCTCGTGTGGCTTTCTGTGCTGATGTGCTGCGCGACCAGGCTCCTAAGATCTTTGCTTCATTAAATGGCCGGTCATCGAGTCTATTCAAGGCACACTGGAGAGTCCGGTGATCTTCATCAAATTGGGCACAGTGGCACAAGAGATGTTCAATAGTCTCTATACAGTTGCAGCTTTCACACATGGATGAATCCGCCATGTCAATGCGATGGCTGAATGACTTAGTACATGCTACCTGAGTCCACAGCCGGCACCGCATTGTATCGTCACGTCGAGAAATCTTGGATGGCAGTTGTTTCTGGAGTAATGGCTTAAGGTTCTTAGGGCGATGATTGGAGTCAAGTGGAGAATGCCAGTGTACAAGCGTGGCATTATGCGCGATGTGACGAAGTTCTCTAGCTGCGTCTACTCTTGAAAAGGGTATTAACAGTGTGGGCACTCCATCGTGGGCCCATCGGGCAGCGTCGTCAGCGAGGTGGTTACCACTGAGGCCACAGTGGCCCGGCAACCATTGTAAAACAATATCGTGTCCTTGATCAGCGGCTCGATGACAAATTTCATTAATACGATACGCCATCTGGTAGTAGTTTTCACGTCTTAGACTTTGCACGCATTGCAGGGTTGCCTTGGAGTCGCAGAAAATGACCCATCTATTAGGGAATTCTTGCGTAACAAACTTAACGGCGGCTCGAAGAGCAGCGAGCTCGGATCCCGTAGATGTCGTGACGTGTGATGTCTTGAATTTGACGGTGATTGATCGAGATGGTATGACAAAGGCACCTGTCGAACTTCCCGAGACCGAACCGTCCGTGTAAACATGAATTCGGTTAGCATACGACAATTGCAAAAGGTCCAGTGAAATCTGCTTGAGGGCTGCAGATGACAGGTTTGCCTTTTTAGATATCCCCGGCACTTCCAGGTGCACAGTCTGTCTTTTCATGCACCACTCTGGAGATAGTGGTATGGTTGCGGGCGAGAATCGCCACAAGATGGAATTCTGGTTAGCCACAACAACTTTGGAAAACGATGCCTTTGGTCTTTCTAGTGGCAAGCTAGCAAGGTGGTGGTAAGGCACTCTGGATATGTGTCCGGAGTGTGTCGACAGTTATATATGTCGTGATCGGATGGCCTTTAGCAATACCAATTGTTGCTAACGTATTAGCGCACTGAGGCAGCCCGAAGCATGTGCGGAGGACTTGACCTTGAATGCTTTGCAGGACCCTGATGTTAGTTTTTCCGGCGTTGGAAAGCACGGGCGTGCTATACCGCAAATATCCCAAGAGCGCTCTGTACAGCTGAACTATAGATGACACTGATGTGCCCCACGTTTTGCCAGCGAGAAATCTCATCACGTGTGTGATAGAGCTGAGCCTCTTCTTCAAGTGCGAGATGTGAGCACTCCACGAGAGATCTCTGTCGGTAATGACGCCCAGGAATCGGTGATGTCTCGTAATTAGGCTTGGTATAGCTTTTCATTGCGCCTGTTAGTGCAAACAGAAACATGAATTGACACGTGCTCTCTTTGTTCTCTCAATCTTCTTTTTCATCTTCTACGCTCACAAAACGCTTGCGCCAATTTCTCCGGCACGCAACGAATTAACTATTATTAGCGATAGAACGAGTACAGACAACAAGAAAGAGAGAAACGGAGAGATGGAGAAATTTTTGGCGAAGAAATGTCTTGGTCAGCTGGCATTCAAACTCGCGTGTGCACACGAGATCTAACTCTGCCGCGAAGCTGTGAAGGGATTCGGTGCTCTGTCAGGCACTTGTAATGTGCTTTGCTTTGAACTTTCCCAACCAGTGGTAAAAAGATGTTAATTTACTCGACAAATTTCCATCAGACATTTTCCTTGCCAATTTCTCTTGTTAACCAGTGGTTGAGCAACAGTAGTTCTTGAGACAAAAAATTCCGCACGCCCCACCGTGGTGGTCTAGTGGCTATAAGGTATACTCGGCTGCTGACTCGCAAGTCACGGGATCGAATCCCGGCTGCGGCGGCTGCATTTCCGATGGAGGCGGAAACGTTATTGGCCCGTGTGCTCAGATTTGGGTGCACGTTAAAGAACCCCAGGTGGTAGAAATTCGCGGAGCCCTCCACCACAGCGTCTCTCATAATCATATGGTGGTTTTGGCACGTTAAACCCTACATATCAATCAATCGAAAATCCCGCACAACATTTTGAAAGCTCTACAGCGTCACTACAAATGGTGTAAAGCTTGTTAACCTAAGTAACTGAGAAGAACCTCTCGTATATAAACCAGCTAATTTAACAAATGAACGCACACGATGCGTTCACGTAGCCAGCCTCATATGTGTAGAAACACCCCCCTCCTCTTATTTCGTATTGAAGAGGGTGTTTCACCGAATGAAAAATAATAAAAATAAGTGTTCTTCAAGGCCCTCAAGAAGTCACCCCCCTCCCCCTCTAAAAAAAATCCTGTCTATGGGTCTGACACGATGTAGCTGCTTTCCTGCGCAAATCACTGGTTTTGTGGCAATACAGGTGTACCTGTATACTTCACTGTACATTTAGGTGACAACCTTTAGACAATGAGACTGTGCACCGCCATTAACTGTGCTCGGAAAGCTGTGCAGTATTTATTGTTTATTCATATTTTAGCTTTGCGGATATTTTTGCTAGCAATTCGTGATTGCACAGTAGTGAATGTACTTCAGCGTGCAGTGAATAGGCTAATGCTTGTACTATCAATTTCTTTAACAATAGCGCTTAGCCCATTGGATATTTGTTTATGGGGCTTGTTCACTTTACTCATTTCTCTTGTTTTTGTACCCGATTCTCGTCTTTTCAGTTTGCTCTCCTAGAGACTGTGTCAACCGCAATCTTTGACCGGTTCCCAAACCTGAGAGAAAAGAAGACGTTTGTGGTTCTCGCAATATCAGTTTTCGGCTACCTGGGCGGCCTAATATTCACGACGCGGGTAAGTAAATAGTTAAAAAGTAATCTCCTTTTTTTCTGCAGGGTGTATCGTCGGTATTTCACAGTCAGCAAAACTCTTTCTGTTAACCAGTTCCTGAAATTCGTAAAAATGTTTAGTTATACACAGTATGGCTACCTTGCTTGGTGTTGATGTTTTGCTTATTATTAAATAGAGTAAATTATTTGTTTCCATTTTGGCACATATGACAGGCTGGAGTTCACTGGCTGGAGCTGTTCGACAAGTACGCCGCAAGTTTGTCTGTGCTAATCATCGCCATCGGAGAGTGCACCATTATCTCCTGGTACTATGGTAAGTGAGATGAATAATTTGTTGCGACCGCATTACAAGACACTCAAATAAGGGTGAAACGTGGTTTATCGAAGTAAACTGTTTACCTTAAGACAACCATGTAAAAATCAGTATTTAAAAGTAAACCCGTCCCAGTGTACGTGTATACGACCCCCATCGCAGCTACGGATTTTGTTCCGTATTCTAGTTTCAAAGCCGAGGTACAACGTAAAAAAATTGTTAAAGCAATGCCATTTAATAATAACGTTTGCTAGAAGAAGGATGACGTAGGCCTGAGCACGACTGGTTATTACAAAAAATATATTTTTTTAACATTTCGGGGCCATAGTTCTGAAATATCTATATAAGCAAGAACAAACGTTCGGACATGTGCTCCAGGTTGCTTGCTGACCGCGTACTTCTTTTGTAATGTGAGTAATTAAGTCTCATAAAACTGGAGCATGAACAACGCAACGGCTAATATTCGTTCGCCAACCTATTCGCTAGCATACGTGATATAAACAAGCCTCTTCTCGCGATTCGATCTCATTTACTTCGTTATTTTTTTTTGTCTTTGGGTCAATCAATGTATTTGGACCAATCTGAGTTCGTTATTTAACCAGAAGGTCATAGCCTCTCTAAGGAAGCACCGAGGGATGTTACATGCAACTAATATTCCCCCTTTGTGAAGAAAAAATTGACCTGCTGTCTAGGTAAAGTATAACAGTGTCACCTGTCTCACATTGAAACATTAGCGTTGTGTAATAAGTGTTGCGTTTAACGGTGCGGCTTATCTAAAGCACCAGATGCGGACGTGGGCGAGCAGTTCAAAAGAATTAGCAGTTGGCAAGTTGGGACGTTGCGGTCATAATGCTATATATAATGAGAAGGCAATAAGGCAGTAAAAATCGTTGGTAGCAGCGAAAAGGAATGGTAAAAAAAATCAGTAATGATCTTCATTGTGTACGTTGCGCTCTGAACACTGAACAACATTATTTTCGTTTCCACCAAAGACGGAACGTAACATTATCATCAGCTCGAGCAATTACCACATCACCAGTGCTAACTTCTGAACTAACCACTCGCACTTTTTACGTTACATATTATTATACGCTGTATCATTTCTGTCTTTTGTAGGCGCGGAGAAGTTTCTCTGCGACATCGAGAAAATGATCGGATCTCGCTCCTACGCCTGGACTAAGTTCTGGACCATCATGTGGAAATACTTCACACCAGCCACGTTAGTGGTGAGTTGGCCGTTGTTTTACACGTGTTCGTAAACGCGTTTTCTACAATGAACACGGGCTGAACTTGCAAATGTTTCAGATTTTTAAAAAATCAGTTTTCAATGATGTGACGCAGTTTAGCTGGCCAAAAGCGTACGACTCTTGTTTCCCATGTTATGTTCCTATCGCCCCACTGTCGGTATTGGCCTCATCATGTATTATTTAGTGTCACAGTTGTGTTGTGCACGCATATGCATTCAAACGAAATCGAAGGCATTGAAGCATGCGCAGTGCCCGGGTATGCATGCAACAGGTAACTCGTACCATTCTGTCATGCTAGATATACTAGCTATCACAGGTAGCATGGTGTAGTCAACATGCAGATAACCTTAGTTATCAATAGTAATCGGCATTGCTCTGCTACGGCATCTCCAAATGTCCACTGTGCAGCGCCGAGGTGTTATTTTAATTACCTTAACTTGGTTATCTTAATTTATACATAAACAGATCAGTTTCACCGCAAAGGCCTAACGGTGCATACGATAGCAAGAAATTGGAATGTCTAATGAGGAACGACAAACAGCTCAATCCTTGCGGCTCACCGCTTTTAAGCACCAACTAGGAGGCTCTAAAAGAACGTACAGTTACGCACAGGACAAGTTTGAACTAACAACTGCCTCGGTTGTTACGACTTTTTGTTTGAGCAACGCGCTGCAAGTGTCGACAGTGCGGGAATCAATGCTGGAAGAGATTTTCTTTTCGTTTAAACTGCGGCCCGTGTACTGACCCCTCTTCGACTACTGCCACGCGGTGGCGTCTGGCGCAAGGTGTTTCTAAAGTTACTACGTGACTAAAGGTGGCATGTACAGTAACTGAGGTTTTTTTCGTAATTATCATGAGAGGGGGTACACAAAAAGAGGCCTTGTATTTGTGCGCGCCTCAAGGGTACTTTTCAAACCTAAAAAAAATGTGGGAGCTTCGCCTGATAAGAAACACGCTCAAGCTCCTTCGACATATGCGTACTGTCAGCAGTAAATAGTAAATATATATAGCTCACCGTTATTACGCCAGCAGATACATGGCACGTGGTTATCTAACGCAGCGCGCTAACAATCGAGGGTCACTAGTTCGAATCTCCGGCGTGGTGCTAATATCACTAATACATATCCGGGACATGACGGCAACGGCAAGAATTCCCCTAGACAGTTCATATAATTGCTGTCGCAATAAAACCCATGCGTCTCTTTACGGAAAGATTTTGTAGTTTCACAAGTTCATGTTTCTGTGGCACTGCACGTTCCAAGTTCACACTGGCGATTTTCTGTTGTCACGTGCACAACAGAAGCAAACGCTTAAAGCATGCGCGCTTTCTATTACAGTTCATTCTGATCTTCAACATCGTGGAGCACTCTCAAGCGAAGGGCAGCGACTACCCACCTTGGGCCATCGGCGTCGGCTGGACTATCGTGTTCATACCTCTCGCCACTATTCTCGTCCTCATGGTCATCAAGCTCTGCTCAGTGCCTAAGGGCAGCCTGGGACACGTAAGTCATTCGCTTGGGCTTGTGCTGCTCAGGACTTCTGATTTAATACTCTGGATTATTGTGATAGGATTAAAGTGTTCTAGAAAGTTTCACCTGCCCTACGCTACCTGTGTTTGCATCAAAACCCTTAGAGTGACCCAACGTGTCTACTATAGCTTGAGCCACAAGGGCTTTCTGACCGCAGGCTCGCAGAGGAGGTGACACGGAGAATTCGTATCTGGTTGCCGTCTGACCTACCTCAATGCTTGCTGTAACCGGTTGGGCCCTGTAGCTTTGACGTGCACAGCCTATGCGACATCGACGTGTTCCATTTGCTAGCTACTTAGACTGAAGCGCGTTGCAAGACTTTTTTTTTCGGATGGAAAGGGGTAGGAAAGCATCTCCTTGATTACGAGAGACGCACCTCCTTGCAGTGGTTATTTTTTGCTCTCTGTTCCATGGCGAAAAACAATTCAGGGGGTGGGGCACGTGCCCCGTGTGCCACCCCCTGGCTACACCTCTGCTTTGACAGAACTAACCAAGAACCAAGATGACACAGGGGGCTTGTGTACCTACATACTTGAGCCCAAGAAAGAGACACGCACTACACGAATCGGCCATGATGCCATTCAGTCCACACGTCAAGAACAGCAGCTTCATTGAGTCATTGCGGGGAAGTTACGTGCAGCACAGAGTTGTCTTTCTCATATTCTAATATTGGTAGATCTACACATGATTTATACATGTAATGCGACGCTCATCGGGTTCACGAAACTCATCATTCATATGTATGTGTCTGTATAGTGAACGGTATATTTTGTCTGTGTCACTGTGCCTTCAAAACCAAAAGCAAACAGGATTTACATCGGCTTCTCACTAGCCTTCCGGCTTTCAAAAGCTTGAGACAAATGTTTATTGGGACATTGCCTCATCGCATCGAAAAGCATGAGAGAAACGCTATGGCGGTGCGTTGTCTTATATAAGTAGAAGCGATTCGGACGAAAGATGTGACCCTTGTTTCTCCATCACTGCCAACTCTCCCGCTATCAAGACTGGCATCTCGTTCCGAAAGTGGCTTCCTGGCACAATGTCAGGTCTTTCTTTGCCAGACAGAAGGCTGACATATGGCCAGTAAAGTAGAGCCAACACCCTCGTGCAAAACGACATCTCTCTCTTCTCTCTCTCTCTCTTCTCTCTCTCTCTTCCTCTCTCTCTCTCCTTGTAGTGCTGTCGGCATATGACATTTGCATTCGGAACTCGTATTACATTAGTGACTGTAAGCTGATCCTCAAATTCTTCTAACGCAATACTGCAAAGTGTCGCTTTTGATTGGACAAAAATGGGCTCATTGTCGTAATAGTAAAGAGGGTCCTTGCTTAGTGCTATTACGCGCCATGCTACTTATTCCTTCAGGATTCTTCCTACTAGTGTTCGTGAAATTTTATTATGTAATAAAAAAGATAACCATGGTCATCTTTATCTGACCATATTGTACATGATTTAGGTATATAACTGCTACTGTTTGTGTACAGAGTACAGTGGATGCATACATAATAACGGCCATGTCAAAGTTTCAGCTTCTTCTCAGTTACATATAAAATTCTACTGATTAATATGTGAGCACAAACGTGCAGATTGTTTTAGATATGTCTAGCAAATTGGCATTAACATAGCTTTCTGAATTGTCAACAAATTGTATCGGTCAGCATTTTTTTTTTTTTGTTGCGGCACAGCACTTTCCTTGCAACTCTTACTGAAGCATATCGATAAAGTCCCTTTGAGTGAATCGTTTTCTCCGTGCTGTCTTCTCTATGTGATGCAGCGCGTGGCCGTCACCATGAGGCCGACCGAGGGCTGGGGCCCGGCGCAGACGCAGCAGTCACTGAGGCCCGACGCCACGGACGAGAATGGTAGCATGAACGGCTGGTATCGGACGCGAGAACTCCTTCGACAACCCTTCCTTCAACGTGACGTACACGTTCGAGACGACCATCTGATGACTGCAGGACCTCTGCACCTCCCTGCGAAGCAAGAACAGGTCCAACGACTGAGTCCCAGCCGCCTTCGAGGGCGGCTTAAGCGGACTCAGCGGCGGAGGTGCAGAACGGAGCGCTGCAGTAGCCTGCGCTCCAACAATCAAAGCGGATGACTAAGGAGCACCGAGTTGGCCTCAGTCCTCCCTTCCAGCTCACTTACTCGGTCTGAGAACTCGTGTGGACACTCGGTGCCAGGTGACACGTGCGCAGTGCCATGGTTTTCGTCTTTGAGGATGCGCCGCTTTGGGATTCAGGATGTCACGAGGCAACAGGCCTCATCGTGAACGCTTGTTTATTAGTGAGTGATCTCTGCCGCAGGATAGAGAGAAAAGATGGATGCGAGAATGCGCTCCCTTTAGCCTGGCCAGCTTGTCCATCGGAATCGGACGCGCTGAGATTTCTATCGAATGGCTCAGCAAAGTTCACCTTTTTGAGCTGTTCTGGCTGGAGAAGGCGACACACCGAGAGAAAAGAGAACTCGGTATGAAGGTTCAGCCGAAGCAGTAGCGCCACCTTTTCACCCCACAGCCGACTCAACGGAAGAAAAGCTTCGTGCTTTACGTGGGCGTGGGTCAGAATTTCAGTGAGAGATACAGTGTGCCCTTCAAAAATTTTCTCTAGCAATGACGTCCTCAGTCGAGCGAGGTGAACGTAGATCATGATACGAATAGTCGTTCACGTGTGTCGTTTTATTTTATTTACAATATGTCACGTCGCATTATGTTGTTCGCTCACTGACATTGTTTTTAATGTTACTTTGAACTGAACCGTGACGTGTGAATAGCTGCATTTCTCCTTTTACTTCTTTCACGGTGCGTTTGTGTGGCTCTGTTTCCTGGTGAAGCAACCATCACGCCGCCGATATTTCCTTGCTGACCTCAAGTCATCTCTGATCTCTTCACTACACTTTCAACTTGTGAGGATGACTTCGAACCCGATCATCTTTGCGGCTTCTGAACTCATCTCGATGAAAACCACTCGAAAAACAGCGTTTCGTACGCCTTTAAAGCGAGGCAACATTCAGCACGTCTAACACATGCTAGCTGAAAAAAAGTGACCTCACATTCTCATGATTTCTAAACAACCGACATACGTGTTGGGCACATTCCAGAGAACATGACGTCAGCAAGCACATTCGGCAACCCTAATCGTGCCGCTAGCGGCGTCTGCATGTGATTCTGATATTCATACGAGATACATGTAAAATATAGCATCGTCAAGAATGACATGAAGTTTATTTCTCCCGACACAGCACTGCTTGTACAAAACGGTGTATTGTTGATAGTCTGCTTATTTATTCCTTCACTGTCGCTCTTGTTGACGATTAATGGTTGAGTTTGGAGAAATTTATGTGACGCTCCTTCAATGAAGGTTCCGTGTCGTTGTCGTGTATGCGTGTGACTTTCTTCTTCTTTCACGTCCGAGACAGTGTTTGCTGGTGTGAACGAATGCTCCTGTGCTTATGTATCGCATATGTTTTGCTTTCCCTTCATTTCGCAATGAGAGGACGAACACCCACCGCGATGCTGTGTAGACTTAGAAGAATCGTACGCTGACCTGCTTAGTTGGTGTTACATTAGTCGTGTAGTACGTGCAGTTTATGGTGATGTTGTCATGCTGTTTCCAAGTGCTTAGAATGTGATCACAGAAATTCCTTGTCACGAGTATACGCCGTGATGTGTGATTTCCTCAAGTCATTGACGCGCATAGCTTATAGTATATCAAGTTATATAGCTTTGTAAGTAAGAAAATGACATTTGCAAAACTAACGAAGTGCTTGACATTGTACATTGAGATGACAAGTTATTTTGCATAGTTACATTTTTGTAGAGTGTAGCAACGTTATGTTAAGCAAGCACTGCGCAGCCATCACCGCTCGGCTGCTGCAGCGACCGCTTACTGCTGAGAAGTTCACGATCGCTGCCATTGGATGGTTCGCGTAGCATAACACGACATTTCACGTGCACGGGTTTCTGTTACGCAGCGGACGTTCCGCTATGCCAGTGCGAAATGCGTGCGTTAGTCATTCCAACTTGATGTTTTGTCCGAATTGCTAGTCGCACGTAAACTCTGGGAGTCGTAGTGCCGCTCTAATTTGTCCTCGTTGTTACAGGGTTGCGTTCCTGTGCGAAGTTGTTTTTGTTTGACATTTAATAGCACCTGACTGATAATCTCATGGCTTTATGTTACACCAGTAATTTGCCAATGTTGAGTGAGCTTTTACTTTGGATTCGCCTCGGTGAACTTGCCAACGCGCCCAAGATCCGGGCCAAGGCGCCAGGCAAATTACCTTGGCTACCATTTTACTAATAATATTAACTCGAGCGGTAATAAAGGAACCGAAAAGTGGTGGTAATCACGATTCCCAGACCGTGAAAGGCGAGTGCACTAGTCAGCACAAGCCTGCTCAAAATACCCTCATTTCTGTTACACCTGTTTTTATCGACTTCCGATATGTGACGCAGTTGTACTTGCTTATTTGGGGCGTTTAAAGTTGCGTTACAAAAGTGCTTGAAACACAAACCTATTATATCTCACTAGATATTTTAACCGTATCCCATAAACGCGCATGCGTGTGACCTTAGCGAATATCTCCGCCACAACAGGAACGGGTGGCTTATTCCTAGAGTCAATGCGCGTAAGTTTCTGAGAATCTTCTGCGGGAGCTTACTTACCGCGTATGCTATGAAAGAAAGGGAATGAAAAGAATGCTGCCCTGTGTCGCCTCTGCACGTGTCCGAATGCCATTTTACTTTAACGCAGCGGCGAATCGAATCGCGAACATGTAGACTGTGCCTAAACACTAGCCTGATGACTCTGTGTAACGCTCAGCATATGTGACTAGTATAGCATGAGACACTCGAGTGTAAATAGTGTATATTAGTGTGTTAACTGTATGTGTCTACCACGCTCTAGTTCTCCCGTTATCTCCTATCTCTTTATCCTCGATCTGGCGCGAAACCGGCACGACAGAAGCAGGGCATCACGTGTACATTGCTTGTAAAGAAAGTACCTTTTATGTGGAGTGGGTGCTCAGGTGACTGTGATGCCGTGTTCAAAACTGTGCGTTCGTTTCACTGATTTACCTTTTTTTTTCCTCTAACCAGGAGGAGGACGTTACTGTTCTTCTTGTTTTTTTTTTTTTTTTGAAGCTTGAGCTTTCTGGCGCACTGCGCAATATCACACGTCCGAGTCTACGACAGTCCTGTCAGACAAGTGAATGAGGATTCTTGTGTACCGTGAGGCAGCGAATGAAAGGTAATATAAACAATTGGTCGAGCTTCGTTTGTGTCTTGCGATCAAGGTACTCCACGCTAGATTAGCTGCACGACACGTGCATATGTAGTGTGTACCAACTCACCGATTTTTATCGTTCTAGTGAGCCGCGGCACCAGTCCTAATGAGAGGCAATAGTTAAAATCTGGATCGGAGCCCCTCCTTGTTGAGGAGCAATTATTTCTTGTCAGTGACGTTCTCCTAAGTGGCTCCTAATAAGTACTTGCGTGCTTCGACCGTGGTTATGATATTTGCGGCAATCTGTACGTATATTTTTTAGTTAAGGTGCTTGGATATTGTATTGATACGGGCATAAATTTAAAAAAAAAGTAAGGATGTGGTGGAACGAGAAGGTTATTAACTGCGAGAAACCTTTGTTTCGCAGTAAATCTGACTGAGCCACGACAGATGCATTGAGGTAACAAACTTCAAGTAATAAGCCAACACGATGCATTTACGACAGTAATAAATTTTAATCAGCCTGAAGAATTGCTTACAGAACAGCCCGCATAATTTTGACGGCTCGAATATGTGTTAATTACAGTACAAATATATGACAGTGGCCCCGTAAGTCACGCGGTGACGCGAACACAAGCTCGTCTCACGGAGCGTACAAAAATATTCCTGAATCAAGATGCAAGCAGTTGTAAAGACTGGTAGACCTGAAATGGCTAGTGCAAGAACTACTACCTAGGGTGCGTGGCAGGCTAGAGGTGTACCCACACGGAAAACTTTTTTGAATGGTTTACTTTACTTCTCGTTTAGCGCTCTAGCACTCCGACAAGAAACAATACGGGAGTGATCTTGTTTCGCACTCGAGCACACCTGGGGATCGATGTTAGGTGAGCAAGTATATGCTTAGATGTCTGATGGCTTAGCGCCCGCAGTACCTATTTGAAACAGCACGCCTACACTACAGCTCTCAATGCTCGTAACCCGGACTCTGTAAGCAATATGAACGGCATCAAAACCGAAACTATGGGGCAGCGGCTCCCACACCACACCTGTTGCGTTTGGCTGGTCAATCAAGCTGTGCCATATAGTTGTGTAACTTCGAGTCTCGCCGAAGCCATCTTTTAGGGGCACACCTACTTCAGCCCTCTCCTTTTTCCCCTCCTCCTGGAATATAGTCTTTCACGAGGGGCGCGGAGGCGTTCTTTTTGCCAGCGGTCCGTGCCAGTCGCAGACCCCGTGGGCTGTCGGGATCGGTCTTCTTCCGTCTATATACTGTCGTACCTAACCAACACTCGCTTCACAACACTCATCGCTGCATCGGATTGAGCGTGTGCGCATACTTCGTCTCTAGCCGTGCCCAGTTGCGGTGTTAGCATTCGTCGCTGCCGGACAGCCGGTTATACATAACTGTACTGAAGAGCCGAACTCGGAGTCAGTGGTATACCGCTGATGATCTCTAAGATTGCGCTCAAAGTGATGCGAAAGAGAAGCTACATGAAGTGTGGACAAGCAGATTACATATGTTGTCGACCGACTACCTTTCGTTGCCTGAGCGAATGTTAGTTCCTAAATTCAAAGCAAAACAGTACTTTTTTTAAGATATTTCACAAAAACAAGCCGCCGATGAAAACCGTTCGAAAATATCTCATTTCCTTGTAACGTCTGTTCGTGTGATTTTTGTGGAAGAAATGTTTCCGAACATGATTTAACCTACAATTGTTCTGTCACTTACAACATGCAGCTTTCGTAGTTGTGATAGAATCAATCCTTTTCTGACAGCTTACGTCGTCATAGAAGACCGTTGGAGAAATTTGCGCATATTGACACCAGCGACTAGTCGTTCGTAATACTTTTATTGGTAGTCAGGTCTCTGCTTACGCCATAAAGGTGATATGTTTAGTAATCTATCATGCTACCTGCTTTTAGAGCTTCGTGTGGTATTTATCTTTAGCTCCCATTTAAGATTAAGGTGCGCACCATTACTCGGATTTTTCTCGCAGCGCTTGGCAAAAACGCAGTGTAGGATCGCCTGTAATTGGTGCAGTTGGTGGCGCCATCACGCACCGTTACGCTAGGTGGCAACGTTTTTCGTGGAAGCGGCTGTCCAAGTTATTAGGCAAAAAAAAAAAAAGAAAGCTAAACCGTCAGTTTGCGCGTGGGTGTGTAATTTGGTCCCTATCAAGCATACGTGTACCTGGTACCAGCGGAGGCAAGAACAGCATTGAAACTAGCACTTCAATGATAAATCTGTAATTCGCTTTGTATTCATGAAACAAACGGTATTTTGCTCGTACTTATGCGATGTTTGGATGGGAGCAAATACTTCGCTAAAAAGGTGCGTTGGAAAACTGACCCCCTCTTCTCTCTCTCGATTATGAAGAGGGTCGTGTTGTCTAAAGAAATCTTCAATTGCAATAACCAAATTCTACTGCGTGTGTTTTGCTAAACTTCACCAGGCACGGACGCCTATAACCTTATTTTACTCTATTATTTCTGAAAACAAAAACACCTCACTTAAGTCTATTGAACGTTGCTGCTTTGCTTTACCGCACTGCTTCACTGTGCTGTTCTATATCTCGGCGATACCTCGGTGGCGCGGAGCTTGCCAGCGCCGTCTTCTCGCCAGTTGCGCAACCCTGGTGACGTCATCGGCCGCGCTCTCCGCCTGCTGCAGCGCTGTTAGCGACGCGAGGAGCGACGAGCATTTCTTGAGGACAGCACGAGACGTGTAAATAGGCAAAACAACCGGAACGCGGTCGCACGCAATATGTGGACGGAACGCAAGGTTCATCCTTGCTTGACTGTGTGATAACGTGTACATAGACCTTTCGGCTCACCGTCAGATACAAGTAGATGAGTATCGCGTGAAATTGTCTAGACTGAAGGCACCTCGCTTTTATTTTTTGTTCTTTTGTGAATAGTTTGCTTTCTGCCTAATCGACAACGGTTACGTACGCATTCTCAGGTGCTTGTACGGAGCATAATGATAGAATTGTTCTTTAATGCACTTCTAGCGCGAGGGCAATGCATACAATACGCATACGAGGATATACAAGTGAATAGCACTGAGACGTTTGCACGTTCCATTGCGAAACACTTGCCAGTTAGCATTTGTGAAGTAACTATTCGCTCGATCATTTCCCGCGTTCTAAAATTATTGTAAAAATGCAGTTGTGCGTTGTTATAAATTACTTACACGGAACTTGTGTAAAATTGACCCAAAGTCTCCGGGAATTTCCGCATTAATGAAATCGGAAACGATTACCATAATGCATACGTAACCGTTCAGGGTGCGGGTGGTTTATCTGTGAAAAAAATATATATATATACGAAAAAAGGAGATTGTTGACTGTTTTTGAGAGTCTGAGGTATCGAACGTTGGAAATCTGAGGTGACGCTACATGCGAGAAGTTTATTTTTGATGATAGTGCTCTCTTTGTGTCTAGCGGTTTTTTTTATTCACATAGATATGATGTCTATTGCATCTTTTTAATTTTTTTCAATAAGTGGCTGGATATTAAAATGTCTTTTTTTTCATTTCTAAAGTAAAGATAGCATTGATGTTGTTTTCATTCGCAGATATTCTCGAAACCTCACCTGTAATACTGAATTTTATCAAAGTAATCGTTCTTTTCTTTTCAATGCGTTATTATTCACAGTACCTATATCGCAATTGGTGGTCACAATTCGTCAATAGTGTCGCGATTGTTTGTTTAATGCCACTGCCATTACGTTTCGTTTTACTCGAAAAAAGAGGTGCCTTTTGTGACTCTGTACGAGCCAGTGTTGTTGTTGAACCTGATGTGAGCACGTGTAAAAGATACATCTGTACCTTGAGTTTGATAGCTGAATAAAATAAGATAAAAAAACACAACACCTGACAATGTCAAGAGATTTCGTTGGGACATTCCCTCGCGGACGCATGAATGTCGCGTCCTTCCACAAAACAACAAAGGTCCTGATAGCTGTTTATTTTACAGAAACAACGTAAGTGCCCGTGAATACAACTGATGAGGTACAACACGCTTCTGTGTACATTGCCGCCTTCATGGAGCAGGCCCCACCTACTCTTGCTACACCATGGTATGTGTAGTCCACAAAAGTGAACAAAAAATCATCGCTTTGCTAAGCCACGTGAAGATATTCAGGCATCATGCACATCCTAATGCACACTGATAAATATACTTCTCTCAGTGTGTGATGACGTGACCGGCTGAAATAAGTGTGGTGCAAGGCATACGCGTCCATTGGGCAGGCAATGAAGGGGACACCTACGTTATGGTAATAATTGTAGCAATAATGTTAATTCGAGACACGTATGTGTGATCGAAATAAGCCGGACACGTTTTGCTGTCTATACGATCTCCCAAAGACTTGTTCGTCTCAGCGGCATTTATCGTTTTCCATCTTTGCTATTTGAAAACAGTAATTGCGTCATAAACACGCAGTCCAAACTCTGAAGTGTAATACACACAAACAAGTTTTGCTTTTGTGAACTGCGATTTAGAGAGTGTCTAGAAGAGAGTGTCTAGTGTTTAGAGAGTGTTAGAGAATCTCTAGGACAGCGTGTATGTGCACGTTTGTCATATTGCCACTGCCTGTTTTCTGCATTGCAACCACCATCTAGCGCACTTGTGCTACGGCGAATGGTTACGCTCTATCTGTCCCACTGCAGGCGCAAGATAATTACGCGAGAACAAACTAATATACGAACATGTACGTAAAGACATAAGTAAATAACACCCTAAAAACAGTGCTACGCATTTGCCTGCTGGACGCCTTCAAAGTGAATAATGGTGATGCGGTGAAAACATTACCCTGCCTATCATTTCATTTCTTCGAGAAACACGCACTTGGCCTCAACTTCATTTCTAACGAATAAAGAATGTTTTTGACAATGTACGCTGAACCGTAAACTACTGTGAGTTTACTACTCCAGTCACTGCATCAACACCACTACTAAAGCAGTATCGAACGTATTACAATAGAAGCACGTTGTACGTCTCAATTACAAAGAACCGTAATTTAGTGCGTATGAAAAACCCTTGCAGATCATTTTCAATCATACAAAAGTACTCTGGATCAACATTTTTTTTCGCTACTTGTTCAACTTCATTAGCGTCAGGAGAAGAGTCATTCACCTGTTTGCACATGAAAATTTGCTGCAAGTAAATTCATACCGATTGCTCAGAGAGCCAACCAAGTGATTTTTTTTTTGCCTGATTCCGTATTTGAGTCGACAATTTTTTTTTTCATATGGTGAAGCTTCGAAGCTTTCGTGCTCATAAATCTGCATAGAAATGTGTGAAGGGCTATTTTTGTTTTTTCACAAGCATTTCGCCACCATGCGGATTTCCACCAGTAGAATTTGTCACTTTCCATATTAGGAGCCACGCCATTTTTTCAGCCCAGCTTACACCGACACAGTCACCAGCTGAGTGAGTATACATCAACAACGCCCTCGTCTGCGTTCAGCCTTTAGGCGAAGCTCTCGCCGTTCTGTGTCCTCTGTGCTACCGTGAACTTCTGCAGCTCGCCGCGGATGGCACTGAGCATAGCCTGGGTGGAATCTCGGACGCTTGAAGTTATAAGTTCACCAGGATCACCCCTCCGCGGGGACACCGATTCCTCATCCCTGCTAAACTTGCAATCCTGGAAAAAAAAAGAGTTTACAAGCACAATAGCTTAGTACAGTAGCAGTCTCCTAGCCTTTTCATTCACGGTGTGTACGTATGATACACACCGACTTCAATGGCACGTCACGCACCGCATGTTTTATCAATTGGCTCAAAACTTAGTGCGCCCATTCGTGCACGTCTTCTGAGTGGACGAATGTGCGCTATCATTTACCTTCGTTATAATGCGCATTGCTTCGGAGGATACTCTACCACATTCGACGATTGTTCGGCATAACACGTTCCAGGACCAACGCGAAAAGTATTTTTTCTTCGCTTGAAACAAATACAACCAAAGACAAACTGTCTATGCTTTTGGGGCCTAATAGTGGGTTCTTATTATCAAAGTACTGACGCTGAGTGGCGGCAGAACTTTTAGATAACTAGTTACACATTCATGAACTTCAATTACTAAAACTCGAACAAAACGACACTTTCCTTCATTTTATTACTTGGAATGTATTACCTAATGCCTTTGAATAATGCCACGCGAATCAGACTCGTTTCTGACAGCACCACATGATTCGTGACTGAAAGGGATAGAGATAACTAAGGGGGGCTCCTGCACTGCGATCGTTCACCCACTACGGGAATGATGGGTAATACACGGATTTGCATACTCTTCGTGCTTGCGGGATTCGAACAAACTCGTGGCTTTGCTTGTTGTTGTGCTTTGATTTTGTTTCGAATAAAAGAACGGACCATCGCAAACTTTGTGACCCTATTTAAATTGGTGAGCCTAAAAGTACAACTGAAGTACAACTGCTGAATATTTGCTGATTGTGGTTTCGTGACTAAGAGGCTACAAGCCACTCGAATCCAAACGGACATGAAAGTACAAAGATTTGACAAATTATTTGCTCTGCCTGACGGGTAGTGCACAAATTTGTCTAATCGTCGCACTTTCGGCTTCGTTCGGCCACGTGTGGCTTGTAATAATTTCCATGCTGGCTTGCAACTCCCACAGACACCAGCGCCAGAGTTCACTCTAGTGTACTTATAGGAAACAACATGGAAAGCGGTACTCAGTCGTGTGTATTTCGGGGAGCCCTTGTGGAAGTAAGGCAGGACCACTTGCAGTAAGAGAGAAAAAAGGGAGGAGGGCGTTTTATAACGTAACACAACAGGCAGCACAAATTACGTGTCCCTCGTTTCAGCGTGGTCAAGAATGGTAAAACTAAAGTGACGAGGCGATCAATCTCAACAGCTTGTAGAAAAATTGTGCAGTCTGCAGACAAATTCCGTGTGCTTATAACTGCGCTTCCTCTTCAACTTTGCAAGCCTGGGCAAAATTATGTCATAAAATTGCAACAAAAGCTGTACATCTATCTCATAAAGGACTGAAAGTACAAGTCAGCTTCTCTGCAATACAAAACCATTATGCGTCAAAGCATACCAAAGTTTTGAAGGGGGCTATTGTCACTGCACATAGTATGCCTTCAAAAAGTGTTTTTTTTTTTAATTTATGGTTCTTCCAGACCCTTATACACGGCTTCTCGGACGCCCACTTGAAAACCAATTGCTTAGGGTCAAAGAATGGCTGTAAATGGGAGGCGAAAATGGGAAGCAGAATGACTGTTGTGTTCTGCTGCTGACGTAATGCCTTCAGTTTTATTCCCAGCGCCACTGTATGTGCAGTACGACAGCATGAAAAGTATAAATGCTCATGAAAATAAGGTAATTAGGTGGTGAAATTTGATTTAGAGATGCCCACCAGCCTACATGTCTCACTAGAAGGCTTAAATCAAATCAATTGGTAAACCAACAAATGGGAGAATCAATCAAATGTTAAGGATACGTTTTCGTCACGTAAATTTGCGAAATGCCCAACACGAGTCAGTAACCCCGTCGACTCACCAGGAAAGAAGTTTGTGCGGCAGCTTCTGAGGTCTTGTAAATCGACCACACCACGCGGGGTTTGCCGGATGCCAGGTCGGTAGTCTGCGTCGGTACATCCTTCTTCTCAGGTTCTTCTTCCGGCGAGAAAGACAATCTATATGGTGAGTCGGAAAAGCCAGTGAACATCTTCCTTTGAGCACAACGTACGGTAGCACTCTTTTCACTCCATGGCATTGGCTTTCCTAGATTTAGTGACACGTGTGGTTCTTGTTACGCATTGTAATACCGAAAGCTACTCATGCAGTTTTCTCAAAACGACGGTTAGATGACCTAGTTGGAAGAGAGAAAGTCGTACTAAAAGAAAGATCACTTAAGCGTAAAGGTTTGTTAATCGGAGGATTCTCTTCCCTTCCCTTCTAATATTTTGTTTCGCTCTTGTGATCCTAAATACACACCAGTTTCACGACTGTGGAGTTTTATAAAGCATAATGAAGAAAAAAATTGTTATCTTTGACGTTGGACATATCACAACCAGAACGCGTGCGTAGTCAGCGTTCGGTTACTCGCCTAAAGGTGAGATGTCGGGCTTAAACAGTCATTATTCACATAGGCTCGTACGTATCTCAAATTGAAGAATAACGCTTCAATTCGTAAGCATGCACAAATAAATTCTCTGCCTACCTTTCTTTGCGCCAAACTGCCACCTTCTTGCTGAAAGTAAGCGTTTCTTATGTCTGTTTCTTTCACGTCGTGTCATTTTCTGCACCCCTAACGTTTTCTACAATGACTCTCTCAATTTCACAAACTTACTGTGCGGTAAACAAGAGCAAATCATTTTTCGCTAGTCATTGTTTTAGAGAAGAAACCTTGTTTTAGCATTAAGTAGTTGATCTGGAAGATTCACTCACACTTGCGGCCTGCGAAAGGCACTTGACGACGAGTTGTGTTGTCTCGGCACCTTCAAACTGCTGGTCCTTCTCATTGCCGACGCAGATGGAGGGACGCGCTGCCTGCGGAGGCTGCACCAAAACGCGTTGAAGGAGAAATAATATATGATGTTTCGATGTTAATTTTTTTGCACAGCTTTTACTGAGTTTTCATCCACTTCGTCTCTTTTTTGCCTAGACACAACGCTACCGTATTGGTATAGATTACTTACTCTGAAACGATAAATAAAAGTTCGGGATAGCTCTGTATACTTTTTGGCGTACAAAACGGCACTTCACACTCCCTTGTAGAAAGAAGCAATTACGTCATTAACTCGGATTCCTCACTGTCAGGACTCTACCCAGTCGCCATCGCCCTGCTGTCATTTTTTCATTAATGTATTTTATGCTCCATAGCTTTCTGATATTTAGTACACCCGTTTACGCTGACTGATGCACCGTCAATTGTAAACTATCCATTTCTTACCGGATAACAAATTGGCAGAAAACACAAGACACGGTGAGAAGAAAACGATAGCATATGACTGCACTCCGACCCAGTCTTTTTTTTTTCTTTTTTTTTCGATTTTGATAATGTGCCAGATAGACCGACCCTTCGCCGTGTATTGATTCCTTGGCGTACCACTTCGTCGATGTCACCGGAAGTGTTTACATTCTCGCTCAGAGTGGCGTAGCGAGGGGAGAGGGATTCAAACGTCTCCGAAGTTTTGTCATTTTGCTAGCCCATGTGTTGTTCCCCCACCGCAGTGTTCTAGTGGCTAGGGTACTTGGCTGCTGACCCGAGAGTCACGGGATCAAATCCCAGCTGCGGCGGCTGCATTTTCGATGGAGGCGGTAATTCTGTACATCCATGCGCTCAGATTCGGGTGCATGATAAATAACCCCAGGCGGACAAAATTTTCGGAGTCTTTCGCTATGGTGTCTCTCATAATGATATGGTGTTTTCGGGACGTTAAACCCCGCGTACAAATCAAGCACACATACATACATACATACATACATACATACATACATACATACATACATACATACATACATACATACATACATACATACATACATACATACATACATACATACATACATACATACATACATACATACATACATACATACATACATACATACATACATACATACATACATACATACATACATACATACATACAACAAACAAACAAACAAACAAACAAATCAAGTGCACATACAAACGTGCGCACGTCCATCAGCTAAGGCTGAACAACCCCAAAAATTCTGGCTACGCCCCTAAAACTGTAGAAGAATTAAACGCTGGCCTAGATTGCACAGGTGGGCAGAAAAATTGAAGCTCACTCAGGCTCACTTAAAAGAGTTAATTTTGTCTCAGGGCTCAGTAAGGCTCAGACTCACGGAAATGTTCCTCAACCGGGCTTGCCCCTCGCCCAGAGTCACTAAGCTTTTTTTTTTTTGCTAATTCGGAGTCACACTTACCGCGATATCACTCAGCTGGACACACTCAGACTCATACTAAAGGCCTGGCGTGATAGAGTTTCCTGATTAACTAGAGAAAACTCTGGTGCTGGAATCGTTCAGTGACCATAGAAATGATAGGTAGTGCACGGATTTGCCTAGTCTTCGTACTTGGGAGCCTCGAATCACACTTGCGGCTTCGTTTATTGCTGTCTTTCGTTTTATTTCGAAGAAAAGAATGAACCCTTTTGAATTTCGTGACCCAGTTTTAACATAGTTAGCCCAAAAGATTAAAGTCGTCAGGCACAACCACTGAGCATTTGCTGATTTTTGTTTCGTGAGAAAACAGCTCCAACCAAGCCACATGAGCACACATGGGGCCAGAACTACCAAGGTTAGACCAAGCCGTGTACTACCCATCATTCTCATGCACGCTGAAGCACCATGTGTTGCAGCTCCCATAGACACTAGCGCCAGAGGTCCCTCTAGTGTATATATAGGAAACTATGCTTAACGTGAGTCTGAGTGAGCCTGAGTGAGTCAACTTATCAATTTCGTTAGCGTGAAATTCGCTTTTTTAATCATGATGTCAGCACTGTTTAACGCTATCATCTCACAAAACTGGTGCTCTACGATACGCCTTTCGGTATTGAACCTTCAAATAGGAGTCATCAGTGACTTCCATCCAGCAACGACATTTTTATGCAGCACGCAACAACTCACACAAGATATTTTTATCGAGAAATTCCCGTGAAAGAGCTTGCCAGGGTGTCATGAACTCTGGTTGTTAAACACGACACAAGAAATAAACGAGTACGAAAAATGTTTATGGGGAAAAAAGCGGGTATGAAAAGAAACCCAAGTAGCAGGAAGGAAGGAAGCAACAAGAAAGAGAAGGCCGGAACGTTAACCAGAAAGACATCCAGTTTACTACCCTAAACTATGGCATAATGGAGGGGGACAAGAAAGATGAGCAAGAGGGAAGGGAAGGCAAAGAAAAAAAGAGGGACTGAGAGTAATTTCACTGCAGCGTGTAGAAGTCCACCGCTAGTCAGAGGCATTCACACAAACCCCTATTTCTCAAGAAACACCACAGAGCTTTCACTGCGTTGTGGGCAGTTGAGGGATGTGGACGCTGCTGTAATAGCAGCCTCACAGAAAGAGACCGATCATACAGTTGCCGCATTGCGTTGGCAAGCACTTATCTGTCTGAGGCAAATCGAGTACAGTGGCACAGCAGGTGTTTGATATTTTCATCGGTGCCGCAAACATCGCATGCTGCACTATCAGTCATTCCGATTAACGTGGTATAAACATTCGTGAAAGCAACTTTCAGCCAAAGGCGCAAGTAGCAGAATAGATGATAAACGACGCCATAACAGCACAGCAGTCTCTTAGACATTATATACGGTGGGAAGCGCGCGCACCGGCTGTAAAGAGATAGTGTCATGTGCGCAGTAGCGGTGCGCGCCGCCCATTTGGGCTCTTCAAAAGGGCTAGCCTGTGCGCTGCTCTAGGTAGAAGTGCCGAGCCAGCCACGAACAACCAATGCTATCAGCCAAGCTGGCTGATTGCAGCTGCCCGAGGACCATGATCACTACGCCGCTGTCTCGTCCCTGGTCCAACCCTCTCGTATGCCACATTCGGATAATCAAATTATTGCTGTTTGTTTGACGTGGAGCCTACGTTGTCCTTGTTTTAACTACGAACGGGAGGTAGCAAGCCCGATATCCACAGTTGGCGCCCAGCGTGGTTTTGCTCCCGCCCGTAGGAATGGCCCGGTGGACGTAGGTCCGGTCCTTTTTTTGTTTTGTTAGCCGAGTTTCTCAGTGACAAGTGCAGGAATTTATTTTTGAGCATGTGTTTTGTTTGCGCGGTATTTTTGTCTTCCCATGGCACAGGCAGACGAAATGACGCTTTGATCCGGGACGAGCGTGGCCACCGGCGACTAGGAGGACTCATCACTCCAGCCGTCAGAACAGCTGGTCGCACAGCAGTTGGACATATTGAATTCATCTTGTTGCTGAGTTGTGCGACACGGTCGTTAACCACGTGAGCAGTCTGGCCATTGAGCCACAAAAGGTAAGTGAGCCACAGCTCCGACCGTACGTCAAGCTACCCACGTATACGGAATACGACGACCCGACATCGGAAGACTGAAGTGGACAGCTATGCCAGAGCTACTGGCGCCTCGCAAGCGTACGTGATGGTTCGAATCCTGTCTTTGGCTTTACGGGATGCCGCAGGACGATGGAGGCTACAATCACCTTTCACCACATGGGCAGACATTGAAAAGCGCTTCCGAGAGGGATTGCTGCCCCTGAGTGCGAGCAGTTAGTCCCGTTGAGCTCAAACTGAGAACCCAAAGAATGAAAGTTTGGTCAAGTACGCCTGGACTATGCAGGAATTGCAGCACCGACTGCCTCAGGAAGGGACTAAGTCGCTCGGGTCATTCGGCCGAGTCATCCCAGGTGCTGGCCATTTCTTTACGAGTGCACATTCGTGACCCTTCAGCATCTGGCCCGGGAGGCCCGCGGGGTACAAGACGCCCTGTTAGCTGAGAACACCTGTGTGCCACCGCCGTCACCTCTACCTGCTGTTGAGCCGTCACTGCCTTGGCGTGCCCCCTTTGCCAGTCCTTCATGCAACCTGACGAACTCAAGCACAGTCGCGGCAGTCTCCTCCCGCACCCTGTACCCCCTTCGCGTAAGAGAGAGGCATCGCAGGGTCCCATTCAATACCGCAATAACGGAACTAGAAAAGAAAGTCGAAGCTTCTCACGGTGAAATATTAAACATGAAACAGGTAATTGAAACACTGCAAAAAAGAATAGATGACCTTGAAAATCGAAGCCGCCGGTCAAACCTTATTGTGTACGGCTTAGCTGAACAGGAGGGAGAAACAAGTGAAAGCTTAGAACAAGCCGTAAACGAAGGTATTATTAAAGAAAAACTGGAACTTGAACCAGTTGCAATCGAACGTATACACCGATTAGGGAATGCACAGACAAATAAAGTCAGACCAGTGATTTTCAAACTGCTGGATTCTAGACAAAAAATGGAATACTCAAAAATGGGTACAAACTGAAAAACTCTGGCTTGTCCATTGGTGAAGACTTCTCGCGTAAAATACGGGAAGTCAGAAAGAGGCTTGGGAGAGTGCAAAAGAAAATCGACAGAAACACGAGAAGGTGTCACTAGCCTTCGACAAACTATATTAATGGCCAAGCCTTCGTTTGGAATAACGAAAAAAATGACAAAGTTCTGCTTCGTCAAAAAAAGGACGACCACGAAGGGGCGGCCTTACACTCGTCAAGGCACAAAATTAAAGAAATAACTGTACTGAATATAAATGCTAGAAGTATTCTAAACAAAATCGAAGCTCTTGAAAATCTGTTTGCTTGAATATGAACCTGATGTTGTGGCTATTACTTGAAACATGGCTCACCCCTGACGTGTACGACTCTGAAATTGCTCCCCCAAGTGTTCTGTAATCCGCAAGGACCGTCTGACGCGAGGGGGTTGGTGTTGCTCTGCTGATAAAGAATCGCTTTTCCTTCCACGTTTTGGCGCACAATTTAGAAGCTGAAGCAATCTTTTGTAAACTCACGTGTGACTCAGGGA